TCAAAATTTGTAAAAAACATTTTATATATTACTCAACTAAGTAACCTGTTAAAATATAACCACCGGTATCATTCGTCAAGATATCGGGGTGTGTCCTGTTGGGCAATACTTGATACGAACGTAAAAAGTTCGTAAACAATTTCATATTTATTACATTACGTTTCTGTTTGAGTTCTATGTAAGTCTCCTGCAAGGGCTCCCGATGCGCGTGGAAGATAACAAACGGCCGTGAGATTCCCAAAAAGGGCAGCAACGCGTTTGCAATTTGTAAAGGATGTTCTTTTGCTACGATTGTTAAACCACGGGCTTTTGTGCCACTCAATAAATCCACAGCGCGTTTTGTTTCCAACAACCATTTCAATTTATTTGCAGATTTCTTCGGTTTCTTCAGTTCCGCTGCTTCTATTTCGGGTTCTTCAGATTCGAGTTTTCGTTTCAAAGTGTTATTATCTTCCCCGATATCGCTTGTGAGAAGTGTACCATTTTCTTTTATTTCAGTCTCCAGCTCTGAAACTTCCATGTCCGTTTCGGATACTTCATCATTCATGATTTCTCCCTCAGATTCTTCCGATGATTTTTCAGTATCATGCGATTCTGTATCTTTATTAACAATCTTTTTAGAAATATTGTCTATTATGCTCGATTCACCTTGATAATGTAATCTCAAAAAGCTATAAATATTTACTGCAAGATGCCTGTCTTTTAATTCTTGTGGAAAGTTCATGGCTTCAATGAATGTAGTTTGAGGTATGTTACCAGGATGCAGGTTGATTAGGTAACCATTAGTATTCATACCTATTCTATTGATCATAGCTGCTGCAGGCAATCCCTGAAATCCATTGCTGTATAATAAGTGCAAGCCATCAGATTGCACATCACTATAGGACAGCATCTGCGCCAGAGCATCCATTCTTAATCCTCCGATTTTCTCGTGTTTTCGTTTGAAATATACTTCATGCAACAACAATATAGATGTCTTGTGTATTGTCAAGAACTTAAAATATTTGTTTTTCTTTTTCTTGATATACTTTTCCTGTGAATACTCCGTCTTGGTAGAAAAAGACTTGCTGTTCTCAATGAGACTACTGATTATTTCCTTGCCAGTCTTACCAGCTTCCTGCAACTGCAAGATCTCCTCTTTCGACAATCGCTGGGATGTACCATCATCCGTGATGGAACGATTATCGCAACCGCTTAGTTCGCCTTTTAAATCGTTCCATGGCTCTATTTCATCTGTCAGTTTCAAAGTAAAAGAACCCTTGTTGCCTGGCAAGGGCATCATCTCAAAAGTGCTCCAGAACGGTTTGCCAATGATTTCCTGCATTTCCACTCTTTGATTTTTCCCTAGCATTACAATACCATTTTCAGACACTTTGTATATCTTGCTGAAGTCCTGTTTCTTGACTATCACGTAGATGCCCACTGTGATTACATCCTCCGATTCGCACGTGTCTTCCACAACAGCACTCATTGTACCCTGAATTGTTTTTACAGATTAGATAGATCCTTTTAATCTCTTTCTTGAATTCTTTGCATGTCTGGTCCTATAATTTATACATTTTTTTAACTATATTCTTATTAATTCTTCCAGATTGTTTTTCTATGAGCGAGAGAAAGCATTATATCACCTTTCAATGTTTTCCACCCTCCCTCTTCAATTGCCACATGTATTATCTACCATTTTTTATCTTTTTCGGGTTAGGTTTGTACAAGTACTACTTGCATCATGAGTCTATTCTACTTTCATCATGGGTTTGTGGCGCATTAGCATTAATCATACTGATCAACTACAGCCAAGAAATTTTAAATGCTAATTGTATCTTCAACTGTGATTGGCTGATTCGCTTACTACTGAAGTCGTTACCATTCATATCATTGTCGTCAATTTTAAGTTAGGTTAGGTAAGCAGTGAGCACATGGTTTGGTTGTAGGGTTGTCAACTTATAGGACTGGATTAATCCGAAGCAATCGTTTGATTTGTATTCTTCTAAAAATTGCGTCTTCACGTTATACAACTCATATAACTGCATGTTTCTGTTATGTTTTTTGTTTTTCTACACAGTGATGTGCCTGAAATATTTGGAGAAAAGTAACCTGAATGTTTAGTTATTACTAATATTAACCTTCAAAATATATTGAGTGATAGGTATGATGTTTGTTACATATGCTTGGTATAAGTTTAATGTATATTAGAGTGCTTCCTATTTAATGATACAAATGTTTTTCTTCTTTGTTACTCATTGAGTATCAAAAAAGAAATAGACTGATGTTTGTGTCGATTTGTTTCACTAAATGCAAAATGTCCCATAAATTAGAAGACACAGAATTTCAAGTTTGACAAATTGAATCGGTGCATAATTTATGAAACTGAAAAATGTTTTTGCCAAAACTTACATATAAATATTATTAAGCATCAAGTTCTGCTTTGATCGAAAATTAAATTATTTTTCTTAATTGATTTCTTCCTCTTAGTCTAATTTCTCCTTATATTTATATTATTATGTTCTTGTTTAATTTTGATGAAAGATGATTCTAAGCATTATAAATATGGATCAGATCATAATTAATAATATAATCAATATAATGAATAACAAAAATAAAATAATTTTATTTTAATGTTATATTGCACACTTATATAGAATACAAAATGAACATACTAAAATGGCATGCTTGTGTCGACTGTGCCTTCTAAAAGAAAAGCAATCAAAATCTTTAACGAAATCTTTAATTTTTTTTAAATTAAAAAAAACTATAGTTTTTTTAATAATGTTTCACATGTTTTAATGATTGCAGAAAACAAAAATGAATTATCACAATGAATTTCAAGCCATTGTGCTTGCTGGAGGAAAAGGCTCTCGTATGACAGAGCTCACAGCAGGCCAACCAAAATGTCTGCTGCCGATCGCAAACGTTCCTATGATCTGGTATCCCTTGCAAATTCTTGAGCGTTCGGGCTTCAAAGAAGCAATTGTCGTTATCGCTGAAGCAACCAAATCCGATGTATTGGCGTCATTGGATAAATTGGGTCTGAAAATCAAAATAGAATTTGTAGGAATTCCAGGAACCGAGGACCTTGGCACAGCTGATTCTATCAGACTCATTCATGAAAAAATATATACGGATATCTTGGTGATATCCTGCGATTTGATTACAAATGTGGATTTATTGGAGATTTTGAATTTATACAGAAAACACAATGCAAGTGTAACTGCTCTGATGTTGCCTATATCGAAAATGCCAGACGACTTTGTAATGCCAGGTCTAAAAAACAAACAGAAACCAGAAACAGATTTGATCGGCATCGACAATAATACAGGTCGATTGGTATTCTTAGCTTCTGCATCTGATTTCGAGGAAACAATTAACATTTCGCAGAGGCTGCTCAGAAAGCATGCTAGCTTCACTATTCACTCCAAACTGATGGATGCACATTTATATATTATTAACAAATGGGTGATAGACTTTTTGATATATAACAAGTGAGTGATTTATAGGGAGAAACATTGAAGAGACTAAACATAAATTTAATCAAATGGTTTTCAGAAATTTCACAACGCTGAAAGGTGAACTTCTGCCATATATAGTCGGTAAACAATTGTCTAGACCTAAACAGTCTATAGATGATAAGACATCTATGGTACAAATGGATTTGAAAGATGATATTTTTCATTTTGCATTGGAGAAACCGTTTGATGAGCTGATAAGAAAGATGTCAGCCTTTAATGATCATAGCACCGATTTGGAGGATGCATATAATGGGGATGTAATACGATGTTATGCCCATGTATCAAATGAAAAGTTTGGTCTTAGAGCAAATACCATACAAATGTATCATCTTGCGAATGCTAAGGTTGAGTGTTATTTATTAAATCTTTATAGCAATAATATTATTCCAAACATATAAGAGATGAGAATTTGAGACTTGTTAACTAAAAATCGTCTTTCATAGATTATGAAAAAA